TATTTATTCACCCAAACCATATTTGGTATCAATGTTATACCTAACATTGCCAATTGATTGATTGCCTTTAGGTTTATGCTTGGGATTATGTCCTAAAAATTGGTCCCCCCCCCCCCCTACAGTTTTAGTTTAAAGCCCCTTGGATAAGGTGAGCCAGTTGGTTTCCAAAAACGTACTTCCCAGTTCTTGTGAGGTGTAGCCCATCCCCTGCCAATAGACCTTCATGTAGGTATTGTATACAATGTTCTAGGAATCCAAAGTTCTCTCAACAGCACCATCCTTTAAGCCATTGGTTTACTTCAAAAATTATCTGTTCCCTCATTTGATGTTTATTTTTCGTTGGGAGTATAGATGAAAACACCATCAGTCCTCCCATCTCTTTGGCTTTCATGCCTATCTGCTCATAGTACCTTGATATTATTTTCAGGCTCTTTGCTGTATCAGTCCTCCCCATGAAAGAAGTATCTCAACCAGTATAATCAATTTGTTCATAGTCAACAATTTGCATTTCCCCCCATCTGTTACTATTACTGCTGTTTGCATATTATACACATATGCAATAATTGTCTTAATTATATACCATATATCATAATTAATTCTTATTTTTTCAAATTACTAAGTATAGTTCAAGTATAGTTTTAATACTTATTTCTTATGGTATACAAGGCAGACCAGAAAAAAACCATGGTTAATGTTTTCAAAAGCAGTCAAGTGATCCAAACATCTAAAATGTCATCATCCAATTTTGAATGATTAGCCAATACAACTCAGGCTCATATTCCAGTTATGGCTATTTGCATTTACAAGCATACAGTACCTATTTTATTTATCCATCCTCATATTAATAGTCAAAACCTTTATGCTCGTTGGATTCCATGTGACAATGCACTTTTGTAAAGGACTAATGTAATATGTGGGGATGCAGATATGTTGCAATATAGTTGTTTTCAAGTATTTCAGATAACCACTAATATTAAATCTCATGCTTCCACTTTCTGCAAGCTTATTCTAGCTCAATCCCCAACTTTATATAGGCCATTTTTCTTTCACCCTAAATGATCTTTTTACTGCCAATCAGAACTGAGCAATCCATTTTATCCTTCTCAATTATTAAGTTACATAGCAAATTAAAAGGAGCTCTCATAATTTAGATGCCACTATAAATCCTGGCTAGCTTAAATCAGAATATTAGAGTCATGAGCAAAATAAATCAATAAATCTGAGCTGTATTTTCTTTGTTTTTACTGTACACCTGCCATGAACAAAAATTAACACGGTCAGATATCAAAGATAATGTATTTGCAGCCCAAAAGTAGTGAGGAAGATTTATTTACTGCTACATTTAAAACTGAAGTTCTGTCTCCTGCTACTCACATAATGGTCACATTCCCCCACCCTAGCACTAAATCTAATGCAATTGAGTACAAATTCAACAAGTACATGAGAAACAAGTTCTATGTAGGAGCAGAGAATAATTCATGACAGATTATCAAAATTCCTCTGACTCCTTGCCCTAACACCTTTTACTAATTCCAAGTAAGCCCATTACCTTTTTGCTTTATAAGCATTTTAGGAGTTAAAAAGCAGATACATGTTTACAGCATTGTGATTTTTGACCTTTAAAATCCTTTATGATTTGATCAAGCAAACCTAAATAGTCTCTTCCAATATAATCTCTTATGTTAAAACATCAGACAATTCACCTTTATCAAGTCAGCCCTGAATTTCTAGAATAGCCTTAGCAATAGCACTTAGCCTTTACAGCTCTCTCTAAGTGGTTTACAGTCAGCATATTGTGCCCCCAACAATCTGGGTCCTCATTTTACTGACCTTGGAAGGATGGAAGGCTGAGTCAACCTTGAGCTGGTGAGACTCAAACTGCCAAACTGCAGGCAGCTAGCAGTCAACAGAAGTAGCCGGCAGTCAACAGAAGTAGCCTGCAATACTGCATTCTAACCACTGTGCCACTGTGGCCTTCCCAGTAACAGCATATTGATACAGTATTGAATTCCAGCATATCTGGGTCTATGACAACTCAATGATCCTAACTTGGGGCGGTCAGCAGGGGGTGGCCTTCTTGCCACCGCCAACTCTCCTATGCCAACTCAGTGCCGCCATTTCTTCGCAGGACATCTCAACACTGGAAAGTTGCTGCAGGGATAACTCGCTGCCGGCGTTGGATGGAGAACTGGACGAGCAAGCGGGTTTTCAGAGAGTGGTGGTGGTAGGTTGGCTCCGCCCTGAACGCCAAACTGGCAGCTCTGCAAGGTTTTTTTTTCCTAAAGTGCAGTGGATTAAAAAAACTTGCAGTCTCCTTGGCACTTTAGAAAAAAACTGGCAGAGCCACAGGGCTTAAAAAAAAAACACCTTGCAGAGCAGCACAGCACAAGACTCGGAGGCAACGGCAGGGGTGTCAAAATAAGAAGCACCCATCTGCCACTGCCTCCCTGCCCTCCACCCCATCCCCTGCTGCAGCCAAATGCCAGTTTGGCATTTGGGGCGGAGCCAACCTACCACCACCACCCTCTGAAAACCTGCTCGCTTGTCTGGCTCTCCATCCAGTGCCCACAGAGAGTTATCCCCGCAGCTACTTTCTGGTGTTGAGATGTCTTGCAAAGAAATGGTGGCACCGAGTTGGCAGAGGGGAGTTGGCGATGGCGAGAAGGCCACCCCCTGCTGACTGCCCCAAGCTAGTAGCATTGCGTCCTCCCATTCTGTCTGGAGGATCCCAGTTTAAGGAAAGACATTATAGAAGTTATAGTTTCATTTTAAGTGCCTACGCATTTATTTCCATTTTAATGCACACATGTATATCTGCTCTATATTAATGACTGTTATAAGGCTGAATATATTTAAATTGTTTAACTTAAGTTGTTTAACTTCAAAACTGAGTAGCAACTTCTAACTATAAATGGTTCTTAAAGAGGGTGAAGTATATATAAGTAAACTATAAACTTTTGGACTAAATTCTACTGCCACCTACAACAGATTATTACAGGTATCTGTACCTATCCTGTACAGTGCTGACTGAGGAAGATTGAAGAGGGTTCCAAAAGAGAAAAAAATAACAGCATTCCAACTTCCTGTTATCTCAGATTCAATCCATTACATCACCATGCCTATTATGTAGCACCCAAAAGTGGATTATTGCAACACTGTCTACATGGGGCTACCCTTGAAGATTATTTGGAAACTACAATTGGTCCAAAATGCAGCAGTGCAAAAAGTTCTGGAGCCCCCTAGGGTGGCATATGCAAAACTACTGTTACATCAGCTGCACCGACTGTCAATCTGCTTCTGGGTCCAATTCAAGGTGTTGGTCATTACCTTTAAAGCCCTCTATGGCATAGGTCAAAGATATCTGAGGAACTGTCTTACCCCAATGGGATTTGCCCACCCCACTCGTTCTGGCAGAAACGGCCTACTGCACACCCCATCAGCCAAGGAATTGTGGCTGGCGGGGTGTAGGAGAAGAGCCTTTGCTGCCACAGCCCTTCACTCTGGAAAATCTTTCCCCAGGACATGAGATCTGCCCTCAACCTTCTGGCCTTTAGGAGCCTTGAAACAGCAAGATGCACAGTACAT